TCTCACACTAAATGCAACATTTTGACCCAAAGAATTGTGGAATATTATTGTATGTTACTAAAGCAGAGAGAAAYGCTTTCACAAAATCAGGGAAGTAATTCATATGTATTACTTACCTTCATAAGAAGGTGAGAGGGCTTTACTAGTAAATTGCCTTAATGTCCTGAATAAGAGATATTATAAGAAAATACAGAAGTGTATGTTTATTATTCATGCCCTGGTGATAATCATTGATCCTGGAAGTTTGTTTTAAMCCTCTTGTTCAATTTGGGATCATTATAGTTTCCCATGCTGTGAGCTGCAATATTTAAAACCTCATTAAGTCTATGACCTTGCACTTCACCTGTTTGCTCACTGTTTCCTTTTCTGTGTTAGCAAAGGATTTACTTGCTGCAGGTCACTGTATTATTATTGAAATACAGCCAGCAGTATACAACTACACTACCTTGTATATGAAGGAAAGATGCACAGATCCAAGATCAGGACAAAGATGTCAACTGCATATGGGTATGTCTTTCTTGATGTTGTTCTAGGCAGCCCCACCAATGCTCTGTCATTCATGATATTCATAGAAAACAGCCTAGATTCTGATCAGCCAGTAGCGCCACATACATGGAAAAGACTACAGACCTGACCATAGAATATGGATGCATTTTGGCAGAGGCTTATGGTTTAAGGACTTTTGAAACATTGTCCAATGTTTGGTGACAATGCACAAATCACCTTTATTAAATATTGATAGTTTTCATTCTCCTCACATTTTGATAGCCTACTCYTTTTTATTATGTTTTTGTCTTGTTTACTATAGAAGACAAATACACAGTGATTTAAATGTTTGTTAAATTTATCCAAATACCATTTAAGAGCTGTGATTTCTTAAAATAATTATATTAGTCCCAGAATGAAAGCATTGCCTGACTGGAGAATAACTTATGATGTAAATGGTCCCATGCCTTAAGTCTTTCATAAGGTTTAGCTCAAATCTGACAGAGACAACAGCACACAAGAACAGAAATTGCTCTAGTGAGAATGCAACAATCTTGCCCCAAAGTGGCCCATATACAAGTCCTGGCCATGGTAATCAACCACGCTTCAAAAAAGCTTGTAATCTTGAGGTGTCTGTATGTTATGACAGAATCCATTGGATGCTCCCATCCATTTGTGCTTGAGAGACAATGCTGAATAATAATGATCTGAATAGGAGTAATGCTTTGTCTGAAGCATCATATGCAATAAAAATGGTGTAAAGGAACGCCCTATGACACTATGTTCATGTATTTCACTTTTGGAGATCCCTTGCGGCTGATTGCTTAATAGCAAACCTTACTGCTAAGATGAGGCTGACAGAATTCCTGAGTAATGACCTCCCGAGACCTCTTGGTAGTAATAAGCTCTGACTTTGTACTGACCCCTCTAGAACCTCTCCCCAGTACACCAGGAAAACAGAATCAGGAAAACACCAGGAAAACACCATTTTTAGCCAGTGAAATATTGCTTTCCTGTTTTCATCTTCTGGTATGTATCTTGACAGAGTATCACCATAACACACAGGAAAACACCCACACCCCGAGGCAYCACACCTCGCCCTCAAGCCCTGCAGTCCTGACTAGGCCATCAACACAGAACCACGTCTTCAAGTTGTCTTCAAGTTGCAACTGTACTTCATATCCCAACAATGTTGTTCTGTGTATACAAGATGATTAACCTAATTGTCCACCCACAACTAATAAAAGAACCGGGTGGGAACACAAGTTTTCTTCATTGTTTCTCATGAYTGTAAGGACTCATTCTCAAATTTGTGTGGGATGATCATGCAAGACATTTAAACTGAGATTGTGTGAATCTAGGAAACTMTGTATCTTTTCCAGAAGAGCAAGAGGGTGAGGAGACAGAGTAGAAGATGATTAGAAAAGGGTTAACCCAAGTTTAATAGTGATGTTGCCAGGTGAAGAATTGTTTGCACCTAGTGAGTTTTTGCTCAGTGTCCTTATGACCAGTTATGAAGGGTCAGAAGTTTCTGTTGCCAGAATGGTTTTTGTGACTGTGCATTTGCATGTTGCTATCAGTTTTGAAAAAAATGGTAGAGATAGCTTCTGCCAGAAGTGAGTTGGAAGTGACAGAAGTGGGCTAGGAAATCAGCAGTCATTGTGTCACGATCCGCTTAACCCAAGCGGGAATCGTGATGGCTCGTTATCAGAATCTCAGAATGCAAAAGAAAACGAGGGGCAAATATATATATTTTAAATAATCAAGAATAATTTATTTGGATATTTTGTGATAGAAGAGGGTGAGAGAGAGAGGAAGAAAGAAAGAGAGAGAGAAAAAGAGTGGGTTGTATAGCTACCAAATGGCTCCGATGAACCTGCGCAGTCCAAATTTCATAGGTTCGCCAGCAGTCCGTTGGGGGGATCCCGATCAGGGTCTTCTTGGAGAGACTTTTTATAGTCCTTTTGAAAGCGGGTGGCAGCAAGCCAGGGGGTTGCGAAGCACGGAAACCTGATGGAAACTTGCGAAGCATGGAAACCTGCAAAGCATGGAGAAATTGGTGGAGCGGTGGGGAAAGAATGTCCATTGTTCCATGAGGCGTGCAGTATGGGGTCGCRCCGCTCTCTTTCCGTCTCCACGTCAGAAGCAGCGCAGCCATCCATGGTTGACACGCTGTACCTTCCAGCCTAGGAGCTGGAAATCTGGCAGTCATCCCACCTTGATCAGGCTCGGACTCCTTTGAGCAAAAGTCCCCCTTTCTCCCGCCTTGGGGTTTTTCGATGATCGTGAGACAGTCAAGGGTCTTCCATACGGTCTCTTACACATTGATACGTGTGATAACTGCTGAGGAACAAGATGTGGCCATCCAGAGTCATTTTGACCCTCACGCATTTCTAGACAGATTTGGGTTATTTGGCTACTCGTACCTCAGCAGTCAGCCATCAGTGAGCATCCAAGATGGGCCAGAAGCAGGACAGGCTGTCTCTGCTGATTAGAAGGGATGAGGTTGCAGCACACATTGGTTCATTTCCTGGTAGCTGCAGAGCACAGACAGGCCCTGCTGCTCTCTGCAGTGTCCCAAACCCTGCTGTGAGGCATGTCACCAGCCACCCCTGAGACAGGGGACGGGACACGTTGCAGTGGCCATGGGGAGCGTGGTTCCACAGGGAATCGGCCTCTTGGATGTCATGAGCCTGCAGCATGCAGCACACAGCACACTGGGCCGTTTACTGTACAGGCTCTGGCAATTCGAAGAAACATGCGACTTGAATTCAAGCTTGATGTATTTTGTGTTCATGAAGATTAATCAGATATAAATTTATGTTCATATTCCAAATGCAACATGCGTCAACACTGTTTTATTTATGTTGTATTTACGTCAACAGGATGTTCCTGTTTTCTCTAGTCAAAGCCAGCAATGAAACACTTAACTTCCGCTGGTACCTTTCATATTAAAAAGGACTCATCACTATAATGCCTGGGTCTTGTAAAGGTTAGCTTGAGAGCACGCTTCACATAAAGTGCTTGAGGATTCTGAAGTCAACAAGGCAGATTTTTTTTTTAACTTCCACTGTTTATTACTGAAAAGATGATGAAACCGTGTCCCAAGGAGCGCGTGTCCTCTGGGGTTGTCTTGAGATCACTGTAGGAAGCCGTGGCTCCCTCCTGAGAGGGGGGGAGGGGATGATGGGATGACACGATCACGGCTGCAGGAGCGGCTCCCGCCCTATTGACGCCCGCTGTTCCCCAGGGCCGCCCCGCCTGCTCGGGTCCAGGGCCCGCCCCGCCCCCTGAGAGGCTGCACCCTCACCCAAGATGGCGCTTCCAGTGTCTCCGACGGGCTTGGACGTGAGAGTGGTGCTGGTCAAGATGTCGGCAGTGTACCTGAGGTCCCCGCGGAACTTGCCCTAGTCCATCATGGCCACCGCTCTCCAATTACTTCAGCCGGCAGACGGAGCCGCTTGCCCTTAGGAAAGATGGCGGAGCGCAGGGTACAGCGGGCGCTGTGTGCTGGTGGTTGCGGTGAGGGTCGGTGTGTGAGGCCGGGTGGCGACGGGGGCTGTGCGGGCMGTGCGGGCAGCGCGGAGGGGCGAGGCGAAGGGAAGGGAGGCTGCGTCTGTTGTTAGGCGGGGGAGAAGGAAGGCTCCGGGGGAGCTGGGCACGTTCGCAGCCCTGCAATGTCGGGCTGGGGCTGGAGGAGTGCCTCGCTTGGCCGCAGCAGGACGCCCGCCATTTGTGTCCCACCGCGCTGGGTTCCCTGGGAGCCGCCGGTGCCTCYGCAAGGAACATTATCTGCGGGTTCTGACAGCTTACAGCGATGCAACTGAATTAGTTGTGAGAAGTTTCTCAAGGTTTTTGTCATGGGAAAGGACTAAATAATCGGAAAATTTCTCCTTTCCACTGCAGCGGCACTTGCTAATTCTTTATTCAGAATATATACTGCTTAGTCCTTAACAATCCTACAATTGTTAAGTATTTGGCATAACCAGAAAACTGGAAATCAAAGGTGAAAGTACTTTACAGTTGTTAACTCCACAGGGAATCACCTGATTGTAGTAAATTGTGTATATAGAAATCTACAAAATTGTGTGTATATGGATAACCTGTGTGTGTAACTTAGRGCACCACATGGAGGCTGTATGGGACTATTTGTCAGCTGCTGTTGGAATAAAGCTGTTTCTGCCAGCTGTCTGTGTATTGGCAGTATTCAGAAATGCTGTACTGATGTGTGTATGTATGTCACTGCCATAAAATGGGAAGGAACTATCATAAGTTGCCTTAATATATCTCAATAGTTACTTTATGAATGATGATCTGACTGCCTTTTCTTGACAGGTGCACCCCAGTAGCAAACAGCACCAAGTTCCCATGTACAACTTGAATAATCAGTTCCATACCTGGCCTCTCTTCGGAACTCTTGTTTTTTGCCTAATCTGACACTTCACCAGAGGGACTTCTGAGAGCTTCTTAGTGTTATTTTACCATACAGACACGGGTCATAGGACACTGCTGTTATGTCCTGGCTTCAGGTTGCAGTCAGCCAATCCAATGAGGATATATTTGATGAAGATGCAGATGAGATGTATCTACTACAGAAGGAATGGAACAGCACCATGAAAAAGAGATTGAAGGTATTTTTATAAAAATGATTAAATGGTGCTTTTAGTCCTTTTAGATTTACTGATACATACCTTGATATACAGGTGAATGATTTAAAGGGAAAAGTAAAAGTAGCAGCCTAAAAGTTATTGTGGCTTATTTTCTTCTGAATATCTGGAGAATGTAGCACAAACTTACGGAAACATTTGTTCGTACTCACCAGAGCAAAGTACTGTTTTACTAGAAGACATCATCTCCCTCTACACCACCACAAGCATTTGTAAAAGGCAGTGCTGGATTGTGATGCAAGCTCCTTGCTTTGTACTTGTAGGTATGCCAAAAGAAATGTGGGATGTCTGGGATTTTGACTAGAGTTACTCATCAGTCAAATCGTAAGATGTGTGACTCCATGTGCAATCACAGTTGGGCATTGTGGTCTGTGTAGGCCTTTGGTTGATTTATTCTCCTAGTGAAAAGTGTGAAAAAAAAAYTTTGTGAAAGCTGCTTTCCACAGCCCTTGCCTCTCTGGAGTCCTACAGAGAACAAAACACCTTCATAAACAGATTAGCTCGATGGACCATGTCATTCAGAGTAGAGCCAGTAGGGCTTGTCTGCTCACAGCTGAGCAACATCTGGCTGAAGAATATGAATGGATGTTGTGTATGCTGTTGATGACGAACAGTATTACAGCAGACCTGGTGTAGTATTCTCTAAGGAAGTTTCCTTCATCTGAGTTCCATGGAAAGACTTGTTTACTTAAGGGACTGTTTAGTGGTCTTACACAAATCTCTCTGATATTTATGAGTAGATACTACAAAAGCATGAAGTGGTATTGAAATTAAGAGTTGTATGTTGGGCAAAATAAATATTTGTGTTCCTGACTTTTTCTAGCAAGGCCATCATTAGCAAATAGGAGGTTACACTTCCACAATTTGCAATTTTGGTGTAAAAAAGTTAGGAATTATTCTATATAGACGCATAATGTGGTTATAATATAAAGCAAGTAGTTTGCATTACAATCATTACCTGTTCCTTAAAGAAAGCAGTCCCATTGCTAAGTGTATTTTATATGTGACTCAGTCAATCACTATCTTTTTTTCTGGTATAACTCTTATAATGAGTGAGATCTAGCAAATAAAGGAGCAAGGCTCAACAGTTAGTTTTGTGAAAGCAAATGGATTCCATGTAGGTGGATTACAGATAGGAGAGTACCTCTGCTAAAGGGGAAGCTTGGCAGCCTGTGTATTTTTTTAATTAGAAAAAAGAAGTCTAAGCAATGTGGTATTCCTAAATCCATTTTTCATAAAGGAGTTGGTAATCATTGAAAGCAAGCATGCTTTTCTGCAGATTTGTCTTAGTTTTTTATCTTTCTAAAAGTAGTTTCCCTTTTGTCTGACTTTCTGGGGATCCCTTTGGGAAAAGTAAAAGACTGGATCTTAAAGGTCAGTTAATCATGATGCACTGCAACAAGCATGTTTTGGTTTGGCAGTGGGGGTGTAGCTGTGAGGGATGTTCAGATAAAAAAGCTGTAATTTAAGAGATTGAAGACTGAATACTTGTAATACTTGTTTAAACCTTTTTTWATGTATTTGTCATAGGTCAAATTTCTCATTTTGTGAATAACCTGTTTCACTGCTTTTGTTACAGGAAGGCTATAGGGATGGAATTGAGGCTGGGAAAGAACTTGCACTCCAGAAAGGCTTTAATCAAGGTTACAGACATGGTGCCAAATTGATGATTACATGTGGCCATTTCAAAGGAACCCTGAAGTAGGTTGTAAAGTCCTTAAGGTCAAGTGTCTATGGAGGGTGTGTAAAAAAGGGAACACGCATGCAGGTTTTTGTGTAATTAAAAAAAACCCCAAACAAACAAAAACCAAATTGAAAAACTGTCTAAAGTGAGCAACCTGAGAATTCTCAGGTCTTGAAAACAGGGAATGTGTACCTGGGTGTAGAATGATTACTCTTAAAAAATCTCTTTCAGSTGCTCTTCCAAAATCGTCTCAGTCTACATCTTTAAGCGTAATGTTTAGTTCTACTGCCTGAATTTTCCTTAAAATGTGAATGATATATATAAATGTATTCATGATTCTTAGATACCTTGTGACATTGCTATCTACCTTCACCAACTTGAGGACTGTGTAGATACATATAATCACTTTTGTTGTTCACTTTTCAGTGCTCTCTTATCCTGGTGTCATTTTAATAGACATGATTCTGCTTTAAGTACAATAAACAATCTTCTTGATGTGATTGGAAAGCATGAAGAGGATGTCCTTAAGTGTCTGAATTCTGCTGAAGAACAGCCACATCTTGGACACATTTTAGACTCTGTTCAGGACATGGACCTTAATCACACAGCTGGGACAGAGTACAAGGAAGTTAAAGATGGCAAACACAAAAAATGTGGAAGCTGTGATGACAACATTTGTAGGAAAAATGGTGAGGTTGGTTCCTGGCAGTCTGAGTGCTGCAAGGCAAACCTCTGCACAGATCCTGATAAGTCAACCCTCGCTTGGGTTAAAAAGCAGACTGTTTGGTTAGTAGAGCAACTGGGCTTATCACCAGATACACTGCACCATATCCAGCAACTGGAACATTAGTTTTTCTGTCTTATGGTACTTACAACTATCTCAATGGCTTTTGATTCTCAGTTTGTGGGCCATGTACAAGCTGATGCATTACTTTTGTTTTTGGAAAATCTGTTTTTGATGCTTTACAGTAGAAGTAATTTTTGTAAATTTTCACCATGATTTTGTCTCCTGGCAAAACCCTTCACTTTCAGTCTTAAAGGTCACATGCATAGGAAGGGGAAGTGACTTTAAAGCTCTACAAAGAATTACATAATACCCATGTTTTTGTTTTGTATCAGGAGTTCTCATTTCACCCTCATTTTTTTCTTGGCAGCAGATTGGAAATAAAGTGGGTCCATAGAATTGGCCCCCTCTCATACCTAAAGAATAAATGCTTATTGCTATGGAAATGGTCAGTACTTTTGCAGAATAAGCTGCTTTTGATTATATGCTGTGTGCAAAATAGAACATGGTTTGCTACTGCTTCCCAGAGTGCTGACTCYTTAGTCACCTTTTGTCAAATTCTTTGCCTTACCTTTTGTAACCATGATGCAATGCACTTTCATAGTTAAAAACTATTTTTGCCTCTTTATATAGTTGTATTTGTCACTTGCTGAAAACACAGTTTTCCTCAAATGTAGAAGTTCTGACAATTCCATTGTTTTGCTCTTAGACCATCTACTCTTACCATGTCAGACCACACTAAACATGCTTCCAGTCTAATGAGCATCCTTGTGTTATTTTTGTATTTATTTTGACAGTCCCTCTAGCCTGAACTCTTTCCCACATTCCAATAATGTCTTTTTCCAAGTCTTCAAGGAAGCCAAGCTTATTCACTGTCTCTTAGAAACACATCAGCCACACATGTCTATTTCTGATTACTTCGTATTTCTGTGCCAATATTCTGTATTTGACTCTTTTTCCTGTTGCTTCCCTTCACTGTAGCTGTAAATTGCTCTGTTCAGGAAGCTTTTTCTTTGTGAATGCCTGTTTTAAACGGATTTATAGTAAGTTAGGAGTTCACTTGTTTGGACTTCCTTGTAATTCCATATCAGAGACAGAGGAAGTCTAGACAGAGGCAAGCTAAGATTTTGAACAGTCAACTAGAATTAAAAAAAAAAAACTCACAAAAAACTCACAAATTCATACTCTGAGGTCAGAAGAAAAATCTAAGGCCAAAGTTACTTGTTTTTTAGAACCTGAATTTACAACATTCTTACTAAAGACTCCATTACCTGTCAGAGTTGGCAGACTAAGTTTGGTTTCCATTCAGTACCACTTCTGCTTCAGGGGTAAGCAGAACTGCAATTAAGAGTCTTGCATTGAACCCATTTGTGAAATAGTGGACAAAGGGGTGTTTGCATTCATTGTGTATATACACAAAATTATTCAAGTAACGTTTTCTCAATTTACATAGCATAATGCTGACATGGATAAATGTTACTTTTCTTCAGTTGCCTATGTTGTGTTATAGACTGTATCATGTAGGTTAGACATAGATGTCCTCCATATTCTGGTAGAATATGGTGCAGACAGTGTTGGAAATCATGTAACTTTGCTAACTAATTTTTTATTAGTTGTTTTAACTAATTTTAAGCAGTGCCCACTTCTAGCGAACAGTAGTTATGTTTCTTCACAGACTTACTTTGATCATTAAATCACTGAAACCTTAAGTTTGTTGAAACTAAGCCTTACAGTCTTTTAAATAAACAAAGCCAAAGGGCTTTGAAGATTGGACATCTGGGATCTTAAATTTATGGCACTTCAAGTACATTTGAGTAACCAGAAGATAGAGAAAGGGGATTGAGGCCTGGAAAGTTGGAGAATTCCCTGTCTGAGAAAAAGATCCAAAAAGGAATACAGAACATGGACCTAGATTAGCACGAAGAGCAAGAAATCAGTTACTAATAGGGGATACAATACTAATTAATGAAGATAATTATATAACTTTAAACCAATGAACATCAATTTCTTTGTTTGCTAAAAAATGCATAAATAAGTGAAGAAGTTTTGTATCGGGGTCAGCGTTAAGGCTGGAACTTTGTTAGCCACACCCATCTCTTGACCAAGAATAAAATAATGCCTTACTCTCTAATACAAAAAAGACAGTGTTAGAGGGAGTCTTATCTGCCATGACAATTTTGGAGGTTTTCAGTAACAAGACAAAATAAAGGTTAGTAGAACAGTGTTAGACTTTTCAGATTTGGATGTTTAAAAATGCAGATTCAACATTATTAACCATTCCATATTTAAAAGTTTGTAAAGAGGAGATACCATTCACAAATTACTAAGTAGACTTTATTTTTACTTATAAAAACAATCTTATTTTTTGTCTAGCTTATCACCTTCTATACATACTAAGTAGACTTTATTCTTACTTATAAAACAATTATATTTTTTATTTKTCTAGCATATTATCTTCTATGCTTGCTATGGAATTATTTTCTTCCACAGAGCTTTGGTGCATAATATGTGGTTACTTTTTTTCCATGTTACCACCCAGAGTTTCCAGTTTAACTGGAGAGAGATTTTCTTTTGTGCTCTCTGTAATACTTGGTTTATTGGTCAGTACCCATTCTTGCTGACCAGCCCCAGAAGGGYTTTCTTCAAGACTATTAGAATCTGTAGTTTGCTCCAGTTGTGGTTCAGGTTGTTCCATATCCATGTCTTGTGTTTCACTATCAGCTTTCACCTTGGCTGCATTCCTGAATAAAGCTCTCATGACAACTGGGACTGACATGCAACTGAAGAAGGAAATGACATATTAGTCACTACTACAGACTTCATCCATTCTTTACAGTACTTCCGGTTTTTAAACTTTGGCTGACACATAAATGAAAACCAGTATTACCTCCTTTATCTTTTTGTCTTATACAACCTGGTTCTCCATTGTAATCACAATATAAACTGCATGTGCTGTACCAGAAATGTTGACACACTGAAATCTAATGCTGAATATTTGAATTTAGGTGTGAAAAGAAGCTTTGACTGAAAAAGTGGGACAGTTTGGTCAAAAAAAGAAAGTCATAAGGATGCTTCTAGTGAAAACCTAAAATAAGAATTTTGAAATATATTCATTTTTGTTGAGTTTTGTAATTGTAACCTTCATGTTTTGTATAACATAAGTACAGAGATCTTTTCTAAAACACTATCTATACTAGAGGAGTTTTTTCCCCACTCTTAAACTGGATCCAAAAATAGTACCTAGCTTAAAATCGGGTTAAAAATCCAGCGAGTGTTGATTTTGTTGTCGCTGAACAGTCAATAGTTGTATACTAGCTTATGCCAAATCAATTAGTACTCTCAGACCATTCTCTAGCCTATGTTCCTGTATCCCAACAACTTGTTTTCTTGGAATTTGTTCAGAAAACAAGCCACAGCCAGTGTTGTAGATGTGACACATACACCTCACTTTCGGAAAAGAAGCACTGATTGCTATTAGGTAGATGCATAAAAGGACCTTTCCATGCTATTCAAAGTTACGCTAGACATGAGACTGTCTAGCTAGAGTCTTCAGAAGAGCATCTTTATGAAAGATGCAAGAGTCTTCAGAAGAGCATCTTTATGAAAGGTAAAACTCTTCACTCAAAAGTCTTTTCCAGCTTCCTCATTCTTTCTACTAGAAACACTTCGTCACTATTAATGTTTAACATTTTTCAAAGAGATATGTAAGACACTGAAATAATTTATTCTCACTATTGTATTACAGTATTTTGCTAGAGTGAAGTTTTCCAGTTGTTCAGTTTATAGAGTTATGAATGCACAYGATATTTCCATTAAATGGACATCTGATGTTCCAACGTTTTAAATTCCAACTTTTATAAAATGAAATCACTTACCGCTTCACAGCTCTTGCCATGAAGTCATCACTAGAATTTAGAGTTGGATCTTGAGGATTTAAATGAAGGTGACATTGGACTTCTCTAGAGGTTATAACATCAATTACCACTAAGAAGGATCAGAACAGAAAAAATGTTTGTTTTGAAGTACTTACAAACATTGAAAATTGTCCTTTCACTTTGATGCTTGAAGAGATGTTAGAGTAAAGTTGAGAAAAGAGGTTTGTAGCTATGTATTTGCATAACTTGTAAATTAATAAACAGTAGAGGTTATAATTTATTAATTAAATGCAGGCCAAGACAAAACAGGACTTGAATATTTCTATTTACTCTCTGTATTCAGAGTACAGAACACCTTTCAGTAAGCAGTTTAAACACAAGAGTTATTTTGTGTTTTTCATGGGCTGCCTGCCACTGAGTGGCTGTTAGAATGTGTTTGCAGCTTAGAAGCAGAATGCGAGAATCAAGATAGAACCAAGTCCCTTGTCAGCTCAGTAAAGAGGACAGTAGCAATTATTCCACACATACCACAGGCTAAATTCTCTTTCACAGGGTGAAGGAAAAAGACACAAAAGCTGGTGTTCTTGTGTGGTACCACTTCAAAGTAAAGCAGTTCTGAATCATCTAGAAATAAAATTACTGTTTAGTGATATCCAATATTGAAGTTAAACTCTCTTGGCTGAATTACATTCAGCCAAATTTGAAAAATACGGATACAGTAGTCTAATTATTTACTACTTTAACAAATTCGTTTGTGCTTATAGAAGTGCCAGGCCTAGGAGATGTTTAAAAAATTCAATATAGTGTTAASAATTTTTTATCATTTACAATACTTCACACTAATGTCAGTTTTGGCAAGGGAGCATTAAAATTTGTTAACACCCAACTTAGAAACTAGTTTGTCTTTGAGACTCTGCTCTCCACACAGGGACTTGCAACCACACAATTTACCTTCATTTATATGCTGTTCAGAGATGCAGCTGCTAATAAGAGTGTTATATGCCACTTGATGTCGAAGAATTTCTATGACGCCAGGCACACACTTTGGATGGCTAAATGGGATTTTACTGACCAAGGCTCCTGCTAAATCTGATTTTTCTGAGCCCTTGTTTATGAAGTAACAGTGCTTTGGGCAATCTGGAAGAGACTAAGGAACAAAGACTGATATTTCAAGGATGAAAACAGAAAAGTAAAGCTTGATGTTACCAGGCAATTGTACAATCTGACAACAAAAATAGTTTTGAAATACACATTTCTAGCATGTCCATCAGGTCTCTGCATTTCTAGTAGAAACATAATCCTTAGAGGAAGCTAAATGAGATCTACTCTTCCTTCCAAATGCATCCAGATTAGGTGAATATACCCAGGGTCAAGTGGTCAGGAGTTCAACTGTCACAAATTCTTCCAAATACTTTAAAGAGCCCTCTAGGCTATAGAAGTTTTAGGAACTAAGATAATAATATCATAGTAATGCTGCTGGATAGTTGCACAAACAGGATAGCAGTTTTGCCTGAAGTCTCTTGTGGATATTAGATGTTCCTTCCCCCATCACTACTACTTTCTTTGGAGAGGCATGCTTGGCTGGAATGTCTCCTGATGATCCACTTGAAGAGGAGGAGGAAATAGTAAGAAAAAATTACCACCTGTCCACATTGACAGTGATTCTATGGCAAAATTAGAAGTGCACTATTGTGTTATCTCCTTCAGGATGCCAAATGGGAACTGTCCCCTTGAGAACAGGGCAGGGCAGTTAATTAGCATGGTCTACATTAAAGAAAGCTGATGAACTTTTCCCTGTGTGTTCATGGAACAAAAGGATTTCCCCTTTACACTCATTTCAAGTGCAATTTAGAGTGCAATTTAGAATGCAATTTAGTATTTTTTTCTAAAAATAAAATCTTTAAACTCAGAAGTAAAACTTCCCACCAAGTACAAATTTTCTAGGGAATTGTTGAAAAGTTAGAGTTTTTCATGTGTATTTAATAGAGCAATCTTACAAAAGAGCGTTGCCAAACACAGTTTTAGCATGGTGTAAATTTACTACTACCTTCAGTACCACCATCTCAGGGTCCAAGAACTAAGCATGCAATAGGGTCTATTAATACTGCCAGTAGAAGAGAAAAAAGTGCCCTCTTCTTTTGCGGCCATGAATTGCAAAATTAACGTTTCTAGCAAACAAAAAAGTAGATCTTTGTAGCTTGTCTTGTAGTTGTCCTGCACGTTAAGTCTGGATGGAAGATCTTAGCCACAATTTTCTATCCTAAAGCTTTACATCTAATGTGGCCTAAGTAACTATAGTTCAATAATGAAATGATAAAAAGGGAAGCCTTCCTCAGTTAAATATGTCTCTAGATAGCAATTGGCTTCACTGTTGTAACACTTAATATTTTTCTTCCTGACAGTCCCTTTAAAAGGAATAAATATTCTCGGTGTTACCTAATTAAGAAATCTCTTTTGTTAGAAGAGTGTGACATGCAGCATGATAAGGACCTTCGAAAATCCTGGTAAGTAGCTTCTTGGGACTTGCTCCTCACACCAGTCAATAAGTTTCCTTCTTTATAAAGCATTAATGATAAAGTTCTGAGCCATTTGTAGAAGAGTAAATATTTGGGTTACACACAGACAAATTAATATGACTTCAGCAGCCAAGCATACAGTGCTTCATTAATGAGGATGAGAAGCTCACTTACTTGACAGGATCTAATACTGCTTTGTAAATTACTTGAACTATTTCCTAAACAGCACTTAAATATTGTTGGGATTCTGGGAAACCTACATTGCTTGCTTATGAGGAAATGGTAATTCAGTATGCAAGTCTTGTGCAACAGCACAGCATGTGTCAAATGTGCAGTATACTCACCA